TGGTCTTCTCTGTTCTCCTTCTCGTGTTGCTTAGTGATATCCACCGTGGAGTCAACATGATCTAGCTTCATGCTGAAGTACTTTTCCGCGCCAAAAACTCCAATCTCGGAGTCAACATCAGCAACAGAAGCTTTTATTTTGGGTTTGTCTGAGGTTTTTGAAGAAGGGTTTTCTTGGATTGAGGAGAGGACAAGTAGTTGTGGTTTATAAGTTGAGATTTGGCGAATATGAGCACTCTTCTTTTCAGCATCCATCTCTAATTTGTGTGTATATATATGTTGTTTAGTGACTTTATGAAGTGGTAAAATACAAAAGATCAAACAAAATGGATTTTAAAGGGAAATGACAAGAAGAAGAAAGCTATGGAAATGATGGGAGATTTTGCGGAGAGAAAAAGCTTTGAATTGTGGATGTGTTCATAGGGAAGAATTTCACTATTATATAGACAAAAAGGAATCTTAGTGGAGGAAATGGTGCCAAGTCATAGTTAGTAGTAGTTTGCAAGCCCCTCTATCGATTTAATATTTTGATTATGGTTTTCTTTTCAAAGAAATATTATCGAGAACAAGTACATTTTTCATACTTTTTTTTAATACAACTAGGGTATTCCAACCCAAAATACATACTAATTTTGAGAACCAATAAAAAAAATGGGGCAAACAAATACATATTACTTTATTACTAACTACAATAATTTTTATCCGGTTTTTATCAAACGTAGGTTATATGGGGGCAATTAGAATGATATGATGATGAATGGCACTCTCTCTTTTCTTAACAACAAATGCTACTCTTTATTCACATTTTTTTACCATTACAAGTTTTCATGTTAAATCAAATACACACGTTTTAAAAATATAACTAACAAAAATATTAAAAATATTAACCTAATTTTAAATGCTTTCTACTAATTTCGTCATTCCTTATTCATTGAGATACCCGGTCACCACCATATTGTTCCTAAAATGTTAAATGTACCCCAAATGAGCATTATGAGTTAGACCTTTCAACTTTATATTCTCTTCCGTAACGAGAAATGATTCGAATTATCACAATCATCAAATGGTTCTTTTCTTTCTATCAATTTTTTTCCTGGATTTATTATCCATGAAAATAACATGTGGACAATGTTATGACAAGTGGTATGTAGAAGAAGTGGAACAAAGAGAGAGAAGAGAATCGGACCAAAGTAATAGCTAGCTTGGTATTTATTGTTATGCCTATTGTTCAGTAATAAATAGGTTGAAAGATTGGATTTATATGGATTTTTCAATTCCAACAAATATGTATCACACATTCAAGTATAATTTGCCTTGATGTCTGCTGGAAAGTTTGGCACTGGCAACGTCAAATATCTTTTCAGTATCATTATTGTTCTTTCTTATAATTAAAATCCAAAAAATACAAGTTTGGAATTGTTCAAGAAATTTCATCAAGTACACGCCTAAAGGAAATCACAATTTATCAACATGGCAAACACAATAGACATATTCAACTTACCTGTTCAAAGACATATAGTAAATTTACCAAAACAACTAATTTATGAGATACATGAACTATGATATATAATCATTTTGTAAGCAACTCTTTACCTATTTGGATTACCAATTATGGGGACATATTTATTTAAATGTTTTGGTTGACAAAACACTACCAAAACATCATTTTTTTAATGTGTAACAAGATTATAACCTTCTCAAGAAAACAACCTTGGGGGATAGGGATACCAGAAAAAAGTTTTCCTGGTTTCACCCATTTGCCAAAAGTTTGGCATATATATCAACAAATTACGGTACAAACATATACTTTTTCGGATGCGGATTTGACTGTCACCAATTTTCCAAACTAGGAACAAGGAGGCAAACACACGGAAATATGTGTGACTATTAGTTTTATGAAGCCCGAAATCACAATGTTTACAAGAAAATATCTAGTTGAGGAATTGTTCGGATAAAACAAAAATATATTATAATTGTTACGCGAAATTAAATTAAAAAGTCAAGATGGCCGAGTTGGTCTAAGGCGCCAGTTTCAGGTACTGGTCCGAAAGGGCATGGGTTCAAATCCCATTCTTGACATTACATTTTTTAAAAAAGTATTTTTATTTATCCCTCTTTGCAATTTCGTAAGATGAAACCATTACAAGGCTCTAAACATGAAACAAAACGGTGGGGTATCCAGCGTCTAAGGCCTGTTCGATTTATTGGGCTTTTAAGTACCTTATCCAGTTAAGACGACGACCACTATCAACATGAAATATTTTCTCCGTTTTTGTTTTGCTTTGTAAATAATGTGGTCCGGTTTGGTTTACTAAAGTAGAATGTTTGCGTTGTCTTGTTATGAAACCAATTGTGGCTACATTGACAAGGATTTTTATAGAGACATCGGAAGCATTAGGAGAGTAGAGGTGAAATTAACTGGTTTATGCAATAGGAATCACAAAATAAACAAATAGTGATGGTATGTACTTAGCAGTAGGTGAAGATAAACATATATAAGCCATCACTATTTGTTTATTTTGGTATAAACTCACCACTAGGTTATGCATGTACTTAGCAGTGCTGGTCCAATTAATGCTATATATATGAATGTCCTGCGCAATTTATTAAAAATTGTTACCCTTTTAATGCTATTTTGTCAATGAAAAGAATTTTCCATAATGATTAACGTCTAAACAAGTGAAGCCCTAAGCGGTCGATTCACTTACTTATGCAGTTTTGCTCCAGACCTGTCATGGTACTTAGTTTTCTTTGATTCGGTGATAAATAAAGCAATTCAGTTATGAATTTCTTAGTCTATTTTCATAAGTGTTTTTTTTTTTGGTCTTTGGATCCTCGAGAAGACTAGTATTTTGCTTTAGAACCAAGTAATGTTGAAAGCCTGGAGTTAAAGGTCGTCAGTTCGAATGCAGTTCTTATTGCTTAACCATTCTGTTTCGCCGAAGGTGGAAATATAGGCCATATGACAACTCTGCTATTAATTATTGGCCTATTTTAGTCATCGCAAGAATATGGCAAACGAGATGTCTAGAGATTCACAAAAACATTATCTTTACTCTCCCAAAAGAGTGTTTTTTTTAAATAACTTATAATAACACTTTGTACAGTGGTCTTTTCCAACAAATTCGAGTGGCCACTTAGATGAGAGCAAAAGCAGCCAATATGTTTTTTTGGTGGCATTGGTAAAATTGCTTTATGATATTTTGTAATGGCTACTAACCTTTGTTATATAATATAGAGCGAATTGAGAAACATGAACATAAACGATTTGATAACATGATTTGAAATGTGGGCCGCTGTGTTTTAAATTAGATTACTTGAACATAAACATCCATCAAGATCTTTTTCTTGCAACAAAAAAAAGAATGATAATGCCCAGAACCATCTATTAATGTAAGTGATGCATTGACACATGACTTCTAGCTTTATTTATTTATATATATGTATTGAACGTTAATAATATTTTTTTAAAGAATTTTAAAATTTGTACAATTGGCACTCAACATGATACTAAAATTTATAAATAAAACTTGAGTTGGAACTTTATATTTTTTTATTATGTTTAGAATATTTTATCGGAATCTTTTGTATGTACAATGGTGGGTCGACGAATATTCAAGAGAAAGAGACAAAAGGAAGAACATATGATTATTGGTACTTTGTTTAGCAAAAAAAAAATGATTATTGGTACTTGTATGCATTACTTTTATTTTTCATTTTTACGTGATAAAAACCAAGATCCAATTTTTCTTTTTCTTTTTAATAAAATAATCTTATTTATTTTACAAACTATCCGATCTAGCTATAAGTCTTATACTATATAAGAATAAGACCAAAGGTTTAATTTGAATTCCACTTTAAATCTCTATATGTTCCCATTATATATTCCCATTTTATGTTGCTGTCATGACCATATATACGCTTCGTACATATGTAAATACATAAAAATAAGCATTGAAGAGATCGCAAGTGCTCTGAAGGATTCATCCCCTCCAAACAAGAATTTTATGTCATTATGTATCCGCTTAAAACATTAGCATACAAATATAGTATATAATATCCAAATGTGATAAGCTCACTCAATTGCAAGATTAGTTTAGATTGGAGACTCTTGCGTTTAGGGAAGGTTAATGGCTTACGTACGTCTTTAGAATCCATCACAAAAATCATATACGGCTCATTCTATTCTAAATTGACCATTTGTTAAAAGTCTATAATTTTCGGTCTCTAGATACAGAATCAATACCCGAAGGAAAGAAAAAAAAATGAAATTTTTTCAAATATATTGTATTCTTAATAAGATCAAATATTTTTGAAGTATATATATAACACTCCATCACATCAAGATTGAAGAATCATTAATCATATAGATCGGGCGTTAATGTAAGCATTTGAATATGC